TGAGGGATTGATAAGATTGGATAAGTTCACAAAGCTCTTCCCTATTCACTTCAGTGGTGCACCTTCTGAGGACCCACATGATTACTTGGATTTTTGCCACGAGGTGTTGCGCAACATGGGTATTGTTGAGACTAATGGGGCCGACTTTTCAGTGTTCCAGATGACCGATTCTGCCAAGAGATGGTAGCGGGATTACGTGCTGATCAGACCAGCTGGTTCACCTTCACTTACCTGATCAGATTTCGTAACTATTTCTGGAGAAGTTTATTCCTTTCAATTTGAGAGAGGAGTATCACAAGGAATTTGAGCGCCTTCATCAGGGTAGCATGACTGTTATCAAGTATGAGACACGATTTGTGGACCTAGCTCGCCATGCAGTTATTTTACTCCCTACTGAGAGAGAGAGAGAGAGAGAGAGAGAGAGAGAGAGAGAGAGAGCAGGGGTGCTTATCGGGTGGATCGGGCGATAATTAAGCTTAACGGTTCAGCTTATCGGTTATCGGATTATAATATAGTAATCCGTTATCCATCCAATAAAATAACGGACGGATTGGTATCGGATTAACAATTATCGGGCGGTTATCGGGTGGTTTATCGGCTAAACCAAATAGAACATTTTTGAATAATCCTAGTCTTGTGAATACCAAACAACCAAACCTGATAAAGTGACTTGACTCCCTTGTTAGTATGTACTGCACTTTCGTTTACCAGGCTTGTTAACATTTGTTGCTATATGATAGAATTTGTTAACACTTTGTAGTTTGTACTACACTACTGCACTTATTATAGGTATTTCTTTTGGTTGCATAGCTAACCATTTCATGTCAAAAAAAGGAAAGACTGAAAACTGGTCAAATTTATTGAAAACTTATATACAATCAAGCATGTTCATCTAGGTGGTGTGTTTATACATAAATCCTTTTGTAGTCTTCAGAAGAGGTAGATACACACATAGTTAATAGGCATAACTAAGGATATGTATATGTAAATATAAAGATTAATAACAGGTTAACGGTTTATCCAATAAGAAAATTGAGTAATCCACCCCCAAACTGTTAAGCCATTAATTATAAAATCTCAATACATTCACCAACCATTACCTCGATAACCTGATACCAATAAGCCATCGATTCGATTCGCTTAACGATTATGGTTCGATTTTGAATAGTCTTAAGAGAGAGAGAGAGAGGGAGAGAGAGAGAGAGAGAGAGAGAGAGAGAGGAGATTCATTGATGGACTTACTTTCAGTATTAGGCTACAAATGGCCAAGGAGACCGGAGATGATATTTCTTTTCAGAGGGCCGTTAAGATTGCTAGGCGAATCGAGATGGTTTGTGGTCAAGAGAGAGGAGCGGTATCAGATAAGAGGCCTCATCATTTTGGTGGTTTCAGTAGTGCCTCATCTGGAGGAAGGGGTACTTTTGGTAGAGGCCATCCTCCCATGCTGTTTCAATCAGCACTTCAGGCATCCCACGGTGCTTCGAGTATTCGTGGTCCTTATGTATCTCATCTTGAGCAGTTAGCTTACAGTGCACCTCCGATCCAGAGTTATCAGGGTGGTTATCTAGGCCGATAGGGCTAGTTCCAGGGTCAGCACTCACAGCAGCCGAGGGCTTGTTATACTAGTGGAGATCTGAGGCACCTTTCTAAATTTTGCCCCAGGTCATAGAGCGGCATGCCACGTCAGAGTTCTCGTGCCATGGTTCCGGCACTAGTTGCTTTACCGCCCGCTCAACCAGCTAGAGGCGGGGGTCAGGATGCCAGAGGTGGAGGTTAAACCATTAGAGGTGGAGGCCAGACAGTTAGAGACCGTCCGAGAGGCTGAGGTCAGAGTGGTGGGTCCCAACCCCATTTTTATGCATTCCCAATTAGACCTGAGGCCGGGTCATATAACACCTAGAACACTCTACCGATCGCGTCCTTCTCCTTGTGATGGCGTAGGAGAAAACCAGCTACCAGATATCAGCAACTCCTCAAGCCCAAAACATGGTCCGGTGACCATCCGAAACACCCTTGGGGCCCCTCGGGACCCCATCCAAACACACCAACCAGTCCTAAAATACGATACGAACTTACTCGAACTTTCAAATCACATCAAACAATGCAAAACCACGAATCACACATCACCAAGCCTAATGAAACTAATGGACGTTCAATTTCTAAAACCAAATGTCGAACCATACCAACTCAACTCCGAATGACCTCAAAGTTTGCACATCAGTCACAAATGACACAACAGACCTATTCCAACTCCCGAAATCGTAATTCGAACCCGGTATCAACAAATTTAACTCTCGGTCAAACCACTCAACCTTCCAAACCTTTAACTTTCTAATTTTCGCCAATTCAAGCCAAAACAACTTACGGACCTCCAAATCAATATTCGGACATACCCTCAAGTCCAAATTCCAGTAAACTCTTTCAACTTAAGCTTTCAACCTTGGAATTAAGTGTCTCAATTCACTGCGAAACATCCCCGAAACCAAACCAACCACCTCAGCAAGTCACATAACAACCAACGAGCATAGAAGAAGCAATAAATAGGGGAACAGAGCTACAATATACAATATACAAGACGATCGGACAGGTCGTTATAAAATAACAACATAAATCCTTGACGAGTAAAAATTTCTTGAATCAATTCAATCTCGAATCCCACTATTAACGAAGGCTTTCCAGGTTAAACTCCTGACGCAGTTAATGCTGAAAAGACCTTAATATTGCAAATCCGTATATATATATATATATATATATATATATGGTGTTAACGAGCAATGCTTTTCTAATATATATAGTAGTGAGGTCAGCACAACCCACGTATTCCTGTTTAGGATGAAATAAATAAATAAAGTAATAATAACAATTTTTAATCACTAATTCGTGGTAACATAGTTTTCTTAAATAAATAAAAAACGATTGAAGATTTCAGTATTTGAAAAGTTCCTGCTTTTTTTGATGGCCAGTTCCAAGAATCTTCTATGTCTATTCTTTGTTGTTCTGGTAACTTCATTCATTCATAGGTTTTTTCTATTATTGACATTTGGAAGTGCATGGTTTGGTGATTGGTAGAGTAGAAAAGATTCTAACACAGAGAGAAAGAATCCATGCCCACTTGACACTTGTAGCGTCCCTGTGAAAGCGAAATGCCACGGACAGTCCTTTGATTTTCCTGTTCAGCCAATTTATTGGTCAACAAGTTGTTTGCCAAATTTTCAACCTGAACCTTCCCCAAAGAAAATAAATGAGTTTGGCTTCACAGTTTTCTAATTGTTAGTATTTATGTTTAACGAGCTAAAATGAGATTTGTTGGGAGCTCAAATATTGTATAACAATTAGTACAAAGGTGCAATCTTTTCCCTCAAGGCCATAGATAATCATGTTATGTTAAAAAAAAAGTAAATATTTAATTAATTGGAAATGTGAAAGAACATCTTATTCATGATAGAAAAAGGACTTGGTCAATTGTCTGGTAAGAAAAATAATTCAAATGTCAACTATATATATTAAATGGTTATGGATTTAGAGGGGCAAAATTACATATGACTATGACCTCCGATCCGTTAGGTTATTTATCTTTTGTAATGACTTGTTTCAATACATTTCTTACATATGTACCTTACTAATTTCCAAACTCAGCAATCCATGTATATATGCTGAAATTATACAAAGGGCTTGAACTGGCTTATACAGAGTTTATTTCCTCTTATAGTAAACAGAATCTCAAGCACTAATTTATCAAATTAATTAATTCACCTACACAAACTGCATCATATACATATACTCATAATTGTTCAATGGTTGCAGATTTTCTGCTCAGCTTGGGAAATCAAAAGCATTACTTGGAATGGAAGTGGAAATTGTTTTTTGGAATATTGCAATCCCTTTATCGGTTTTATTTCATTATCGCAAAGACCTCTACGGAACTATATCTTTTTGATTAGTTCCTGTTTGTATTGAACTACTTTAATTCCTTTACTGCTTTCAATAATATGCACTTCTTTATTCAAAAATAAATAAATAAATATTTTCTAACGGTTCGAACTAAAATGAACTTGAATAAAATTTAACTTATTAGACACAATTACCATAATAACATTGGTATTACCCAAGTGCGAAATTTTAAATTCACCCTTACTGGTCTAAGGTATGTAAAAGATTAGTATTAGTATTGACTTGTGTTTCTGCGCTGAAATAGTAGGCTCAAACTCTTTCAAAGACATTGCTATCAATTTACACTTTATTTTATCTCAGCTAACATTTTTTTCACTTTTGACAAGCGTGGTTTGCTCTAGTGATGAGCACCCTCCACTTTCAAAAAAGAGGTTGTGAGTTCGAGTCACCCCAAGAGCAAGGTGGGGAGTTCTTGGAGGGAGGGAGCCGAGGGTCTATCGGAAACAGACTCTCTACCCCAGGGTAGGGGTAAAGTCTGCGTACACACTACCCTTCCCGACCCCACTAGTAAAATTATACTGAGTTGTTGTTAGTTGTCCTTGTTGTAACATTTTTTCACTTTACTTGATCTTCCGTGCCTTTATTAGTTTGATTCTTCAATTATTTAATATCAAGAAATATGCATCTGTTAGGTTGTAGTAACCAGGTTAATAGAACTCGTATATAAAACTTTTAAGAAAGAATGAATAGTTTAGACGCTCGAGTTTTGGCAGCACCTTTTTACATGTTTATTTGGATTTGGCTTCTTATATATCTCACCTACCCATTGATAATAGAATAATGGCTGGCAAAGTTGAGTAGTAACTTTCTAATACAGGGTCAAACCGGCCAATAGCACATACTAATAGTATATAGAGAAATTTATTTACAAAAGACTTCTTCAAGAAAAGAATGGTAAGTGGGATAATTGAAGAAACTAACAGGAAACAGAGGGCAAAAAGAAAGAAAAGAGAAATGAAAAAAAGAAGAAAACGGTGGTTGGTGCACAAACCCTTGATCTTTGTATACCTATATAAACCCCAGATATATGAACAAAATTAAATCAGCAGTTGGTTTTCCATTCTAAGCAAACAAAAAGAAAACTTTGTGCTCCAAGAGAATATATATAATGGGTAGCCTCTCATTTGAAAAGGTACTGTTCATTACTTGCATAAACTTCATCACTATCTTCTTCTTACCATTACAAACAACTCACCTAGTTTAGTCCAAAAGCTATTTTTGCAATCCCTTCCCAAAGTTTTTTTAAAAAAAAAAACAAGTTATGTCTTCTTATAAATACTAGAGATTGTGCATTGAGCTAGCTATTATTTTCATTCATACTCGTCTAACACCTAGCTAAAAGAACAATGCATTTACGGAAATTAAGTTATTGAATTGTGTAACCATATATGTCGTTTAAAAACTTAAGTTGTCATACTGATACGATGATGCTTGACAGGACTTTGAGGTATCGGCCATAACACCGCCAAGTTTGTTTCCGAATGGCGACAACAAGAGACAGAAGTTGGAGCCACCTGGGCCAAGGAAGAATCTGCAACTTGCTGTGACGGAGCCAGGCTTCGGAAGTGACGGCCCTTCCTTGGACTCTATCTTGGTCAATTATTTAGACACACTTACTCAGCGAGTCAATTTTCATATAGGTAATTACTAATACTATTATTTCTATCCCCTAATCAGCCTAATTCCCACTCAATGACTAAATGAGTTCTTTTCTTATTAATTAGGTTATCCGGTGAACATTTGTTACCATCATTATGCCACTTTAGCACCACTTTTGCAATTCCACCTTAATAACTGTGGTGACCCTTTCATTGACAACACTGTGGATTTCCATTCAAAAGACTTTGAAATGGCAGTTTTGGATTGGTTTGCTAATCTATGGGAAATTGAGAAAGATCAATATTGGGGCTATGTTACCAATGGTGGCACTGAAGGCAATCTCCATGGCATTTTATTAGGGTAAGTGTTAGCATCCAGGCTATTATATAACAAAGAAAGTACAATATTGTAAATTATACTCCATTGTTTCAATGCACTCATACTTCATTCTTCACATTGTTTAATTTATGCAGGAGAGAGCTACTTCCTGATGGAATATTATACGCGTCAAAAGACTCTCACTATTCGGTATTCAAAGCTGCAAGAATGTACAGAATGGATTCGGAAACGATCAACACATCAGTAAATGGGGAGATGGATTATTCAGATCTAAGAACAAAGTTGCTTCAAAATAAGGACAAACCAGCAATTATAAATGTTACGATTGGTATATATTTATTCCATCCTCTATCCGTTTTCTGTTTCTTTTTTCTTTTCTTCATTAGTCTTCTTACAATTAATATTTTCCTAATTTATGGTCCTTTTTCATTGTAGGAACTACCTTCAAAGGAGCTGTTGATGACCTAGATATTATTCTTCAAACACTCAAAGATTGTGGCTATTCACAAGATATGTTTTACATCCATTGTGATGCAGCATTATGTGGGCTTATTGTCCCATTTATAAACAATGTGAGTTTTGCTTCTTACTTAATTATGTCGAATTCTCAAGTAATATGCAGATCGGCATTCTGATTATTCTTTATGCAATTTGACAACAGATGATAAGCTTCAAAAAGTCAATTGGAAGCGTGACGATTTCTGGTCACAAGTTCTTGGGATGTCCAATGCCTTGTGGTGTCCAAATAACAAGAAAGAGCTATATCAATAACCTCTCAAGAAATGTGGAGTACATCGCATCTGTAGATGCCACAATTTCTGGAAGTCGTAACGGTTTAACTCCAATTTTCCTGTGGTATAGTTTGAGCGCTAAAGGTCAAATTGGCCTACAAAAAGATGTTAAAAGATGCCTCGACAATGCCATATATTTGAAAGATCGTCTTCAGCAAGCAGGGATAAGTGTCATGCTAAATGAACTTAGCATCATAGTTGTACTTGAGAGGCCTCGTGACCATGAATTTGTCCGTCGTTGGCAACTTTCATGCATGAAAGATATGGCACATGTTATTGTAATGCCAGATATCACCAGGGAAACACTGGACAATTTCGTCAATGATCTAGTGCAACAAAGAAAATTGTGGTACCAACATGGAAGAGTTACAACCCCCTGTATTGCAGATGATATTGGTGCTCAAAATTGCTCATGCTCTTATCATAAAATTGACTACATTATTTCTTAAAAGACAAGATCAACTTGAACGTGGATTGCAATTATAGAGCTCTAAATTTGTTGCCATCGCAAGTATGTCTTCCATAGACATGGCATTTTGTAATTCTTTATTTCCAAATTCAAATTGAATTGTAGAGTACTATCGCACAACATGATCGAAACATTCTTTAATAAAATTTGGGTACATTCTTTTATGATCTTTCTGTAACATCAAGTTACTGTTAATTTTGTGAATGAAATAAGATCATTATTGGAATACTACTGCAACACCATCAATATCTTTTCCTTATAGCAATTTTATGATCTCTACACATAAGATATATAAAGGTGAGGCTGCATGTTTCAGTATTTTATTTGTTTATTTATAAAAGTTATTTTTCACCACCGGTTATACCCTATATATGATGGTGGCATAGAGAACCATTTATATCGGCTATCATCGAAAAATATTCCAATGCACGAAAAGTAAAGAGCTTAATTAGAAGTAAATTACTGAAGAAAATATTAAAAATTTTATCGGTTAGCAGACTGAAATCCATAAAAGTACATTCTTAGATTCCAACGAGGGAGATTCTAGCTTTTATTTTTTAATTGATTTCGCCGTACAAGTATACAACCTTGTAACAAAAGGGAGGTTGTGCTTCATCACATACCTCCAGGTTAAAGAATTGACATGCCCTTTTGTTTTTGGTAAGTAAAGTAATGACATGCCCATTAACATGATAAAAGACAAGTTTTTTTTAAAAAGAATTTACCCTATTTTGTTCCCTTGGTGACTCAAACTGTCAAACCTACCACCTAACTCAGAATGGAGATAGAAGAGGGTGGTCTTGTCACTAAAGACCTTACCTCTTGAACAATTTTCTCTTGTCATAAAATACAAGTACACTCTTCACAAAAATATACTCATTCTCCTACTACTTACAAGCTATATGTACCGATCAATCACTGTATGTAGAAATGAGTTCGAATTTCCCAAAATCAAATAAAATGCTTCCCACCCACCAATGTGGCACTCAGCCCTTTTTTGTTTGTTCCAGTGATGGACGTTCTGGCGCGCCACATCCAAGGAGAGGTGCCGTGGTGCATGCTATTTGAAGATGATATTGTACTGATTAACGAGATGGGGAGATTGATGAAGATGTCACACATCGTATTGGGGCAGGATGGATGAAATAAAGACTCGCTTCTAGTATTTTGTGTGACAAGAAGGTGCCACCGAAACTTAAGGGTAAATTCTACAGAGTGGTGGTCAGACCAACGATGTTGTATGGGGCTAAGTGTTGGCCAGTCAAGATTGCTTATATCCAGAAGATGAAGGTAGCAGAGATGAGGATGTTGAGATGGATGTGCGGGCACACCAGGTTAGATAGGATCAAAAATGAGGTTATTCGCGACAAGGTGGGTGTGGCCCCTATTGAGGACAAAATACGGAAAGTGCGGCTTAGGTGGTTTGGTCATGTGAGGAGGAGGAGTACAGATGCACCGGTGAGGAGGCGTGAGAGGTTGACATTGGAGGACCTATAGAGAGGTAAAGGTAGGCCAAAGAAGAGGTGGGGAGAGGTGATTAGGCAAGAAATAGCACAACTTCAGCTGACCGAGGACATGACCCTTGATAGGAAGATATGGAGGTTGACGATTAGGGTTGTAGAGTAGGTAGTCTAGAGTGTTTATAACAGTAGTATTGGCACGCAGTCTCACTTTCTGTTGGTAGTAGGTTTTTATGACTAACCGTTGTTTTCTTCTATTGTTGATCACCTTACTGTCTTGTTGTTTTTTATTCTGCTTTTATATGGCTTTTTGGTACTGTCTCTTCTTGTGTATATTTTTATTAATGTGGTGCTTATGCTTTCCTTAGCCGAGGATCTATTGGAAACAACCTCTCTATGCTCACAAGGTAGAGGTAATGTCTGCGTACACACTACCTTTCCCAAACCACACAGTATGAGATACTACTAGGTATGTTATTGTTGTTGTTATTGTAGTTATATATATTTCTCCTTTTATTTTCAATCTAAATTATTGGATTCACTTGTTACCAAAAAACAAATGTAGTTTATGGATTAAAAGCCAAAAAGATGGTATTAAACATATGGTAGTTTATGGACATGACCCTTGATAGGAAGATATAGAGGTCGAGGATTAGAGTAGTAGAGTAGGTAGTCTAGATTGTTTATAAGAGTAGTATTGGCACTATTTTCATTAATATGGTGCTTATGTTTTCCTGAGCCGAGGATCTATCGAAAACAATCTCTCTATGCTCACAAGGTAAGGGTAATGTCTGCGTACACACTACCCTCCCCAGACAACACAGTATGAGATATTACTAGGTATGTTATTGTTATTGTTGTTGTAGTTATATATGTTTCTCCTTTTATTTTCAATCTAAATTATTGGATTCACTTGTTACGAAAAAAAATGTAGTTTATGGATTAAAAGCCAAAAAGATGGTATTAAGCATATGATAGCTCTAAATTACAAAAAAATTTACTCCTTATCTGTGCGTCACCAATGGCAATTCAGCAAAAAAACTATATGTACAAATAAATATTTTATTGCTAAACCTATGCATTGGGCACTATTTTTCTGCATAAAGATCTCTTAATTACCCGCTTTTCTAATAGTGAGGTTAGCATAATTGACCCACATGTTCCTGTTAATAAATAACTACTCTCTCTTTCAATTTATGTGAACTCATTTGACTAGGCACGAAGTTTAAGAAAAGAGAGAAGACTTTTGAACTTGTGGTGTAAGATGAGACACATTTATTTTGTGTGGCTATAAATCATTGTATAAAGAAAAATTATTTTCAAATATGAAAAGTGGTCATTCTTTTTGGCACGGACTAAAAAAGAAATAGGTTCACATAAATTAAAACGGATGGAGTATAAGTAATGTATTTAATATAATCTTTAAATCATTAATTTGTGTGAGTAGCGGTTTAAATGACCAATTCAAAGGTTGACTTATGTATTTGAGTAGTTCTTTGTTATTTTCTTCGCACAATTATGGTTGATGCAGCAAAAAGTGCTATGCGGCCGCACAATTACGTTGTGGGCCGTACAAATTGAAGGTGAAAAATGACAACTCTCTGAAGTTGGTCTGTCAGAAAAATAGCCATTTTGCGGCCGCACCAAATATTCTGCAGTCCGCAATAAAATCTGCGGCCGCATGCACAATTTTGCGGACCTCAAAACAAAAGGAAAACTGAGCCCCCATGTAACAGAGTGCGGACCGCACTCACTTCCCCTTCCATTGGAAAATATTGAACAGTATAAGTAGAGAGGCTAGGGAAATGTTCCCCTTTTCCCTCTCTGAACTCATACCTTGTACAAATTTGAAATTTCATCTTAAATTGTCTGTGTATATGCCTAGCAACTATTGATCACTCATCTCTTACACTCATTCATATCTGGTATGTTTCTTAATCTTGTTAATTTCTTTTAATTTTTAGATTTTTAGTAAAAACTTAGACCATTTGTCTGTTGAGTCTAATTGAACAACCATGTGGGGTAAATCTGTAGTGAGTAGCCTGAAAAATGCTCTAGGGGGAATGGGTCAATATATTTTCATGCTTAGATGTTGTTTCCATGGAAGAGTTACACCCTCCTGTATTGCAGATGATATTGGTGCTCAAAATTGCTCATGCTCTTATCATAAAATTGACTATATTATTTCTTAAAAGACAAGATCAACTTGAACTTGTATTGCATAAACATGGCATTTTGTAATTCTTTATTTCCAACTTCAAATTGAATTGTAGAGTACTACTGCACAACATAATTGAAACATTCTTTAATAAAGTTTGGGTACATTCTTTTACGATCTTCGTGTAACATCAAGTTACTGTTAATTTTGTGAATGAAATAAGATCATTATTGGAATACTACTATATTAGACCTACCTTATCTTCCAGACATACCCTCGGTGCTATAGCTAACTAGATTTAGTTTAGGACTCTTCTATATTTACTCTGAGTTGTTGTATTTGCTTAGAACTCTCAATTGGTTTAGGACTCTTGTATTATATATGATGTATCATTGTATGAGAAGAAACAGAGCGCTTCAGTTGAAATACTTACCAAAAGCATGTTCTAATATGGTATCAGAAGCCAATTCAGACTCCTCTTCAACCTCTTCTCTTCCAACCAATGTTGTGCACTCTGCAACAGTTCCAATCATGTCTTCTTCTCCCTCTTTCAACTCTCTTAACTATGTCCATCACTTTATATCGATCAAACTTACTTTCACCAATTACTTATTTTGGAAAATGCAATTGTTGTCGTTCTTGCGAGGTCAGAATCTTCATGGCTTCATTGACGGATCAAAGCCATGCCCACCTTCATTCCTTCCTATTGAAAGTTCGAAAACAGTTAAACCCAACCCAGAATACACCACTTGGATCCAACAAGAACAAATTATCATGAGTCTCCTTATATTTTCTCTTTTAGAAGAAACCATAACTATTATCATTGGGTTGAACACTTCCAAAGAAATTTGGGATGCCTTGGAAGCAGCCTTTTCTTCTCCTTCTAATACTAGAGTCTTAATCTCCATATTGTCACGACCCAAACCGTAGGGCCGCAACGGGCACCCGGTGCCTAACTCCACCGAGTACCAACGTAACGTATCCTTCTTATTATACTATCATGGGTAAATGAATCGGAGAGGCCATCATGAGATAACTAGAATTAAACATAAGAGAATACTCGACATGGGATGACCCAACATGATATAGAAGCTTATGCATGCGACATACGGGCCTATAAGGCCGACATGATCATTTGTATACTCAAAACATACGCCAACAAGTCCATACAAGTATCCATATATATGACATTTATCTACAAGCCTCTACGAGTACATAAAAGTCATAAAGTTCGAGATATGGTCCCGCCATACCAATCAATACATGTCCAAATTATACTGACCAGATAGACAACTCCGGAGCAAGTGGAGTGTACCAACATCTTCCACTGAGCTAATAGCCTACTAGGAGGACTCTCAAAATGTCTATCGGAACCTGCGGGTATGAAACGCAGCATCCCCATACAAAAGGGACGTCAGTACAAATGAAGTACCGAGTATGTAAGGCATGACAATAGTATATAAAAGACATGAAAGAAACATGGAGTAAAGAACTCAACCTGTAATTCTGAATAGCTCTATGAATCATGAAAAATTTATAATGTCAT